ATCCCTTGTTTAGATGCTTAGCGGCCCAACTTGCTTTTTCCGGCTTAGCTTTAAATATTGGTCAATATGGTCTGACTAGTTTCTAATAATTGTACACCTCTTGCAACCTGCATGGGAATGATTTTCACTAGTTTGAACAGAAACTGACATGCTTTATGTGCAAAACTGTTCTCAAGCCCTTGTGTTGCATGCCAAGAACCATTTACTGTTAACCATTTTGTTAAAAATATATGTATAACTTAATCCCAGCTTCCACCATTACCATAAATCCCAAAACAAGTTCTGCATCAGCCAATTTCAATCACAGTAAAAGCCTTAATGTCTCTTGTTCACAAAACCTGATATGTATTTTGACTTTGACTTTTCACCCTAGCATGGCTCTTCTCATTTTCCAACTATATCTAGCGTTTTTAGCACCATCCTCGTTCAATTAGTTAATCCTTGTTAAATTGCAAATAAGGATAATATAAGAGCATATAAGCCGAAACCAACCTAGTTCACCTTTCCTCTTGTTATTTGCATATGTTAATCTCACCATATTTCCAAATTTTGAATGTGCTCCTTTTGCATGTGACAATCAATCAATCCCTAACCAACTCTTTCAAACAGTAGAATTACTAAGCTGTCTTCAATACATACAGCTTCCATATTTCTAATGGCGAGCCCTTGAACTATTCAACAATCTTCTCATTAGTTATCTACTTATCACCATTCCCCAAATCTATAACTACAATTTTGTTGCAGCATTCACTGATTACAGATTTGCATTTATAATCCCTTGTTCATCCTGAACTACTATACTTTCATGGCTGTCTTTTCATTTGTGAAGCATATGATAGGACAAAGGTCAACTCGCCTCATACCAATGTCAAAGAGGAGCAGGCTACCAACACAGTGAAATAAGTAGAGGATATGCCAGGACACAGTCAGAAAAATGAAAACCAAATTAGAGACAATCCTGACGAGGTCAAGACATGCATGGACAGAGGAGGGGCATGATCTTGTGAACCTTGAGTCTAAAAACTGGGTGAACAGTGGAGAAAGAAACTTAGTGCTTCAGTCTGATGCGTTACAAGGTGGGTGTCTCATAATCAAGTGTCGTTAAAAAAGATGTTAGCGGTGGTCCCTCCTCTCACACACACACATATATCTTCACAATCTTCACCTTTCTATACTATTGTTAACTAGTGCAACTTTTACCATGGACCCATCGATAGTTCCTGGATCACAGTCAATCCTGATACTAGTCACAATCTACGTATGCCCCAAGAACCTATTAAGAATACTACAGTCAGGAACTACCTCATTCGCCAAGAATACTACCTCTAATAAACCCTAGTCTACAAATACATAATTACAAAGGCTTCTGCACATTCACATTCACACAATCACAAGTCATACAGCAGCGGTAACAAAACAGGCCAAAAGTGACAAATGTACTGCCTAATTATATGCACCAATTCCACAGGAAAAGCAAATACAACCCTTCAAAATCTCTCCATCTATTCTTTCAAACAATGATAACCTCAGTTAATAACATATACAAAAGCTATTAATGCAAGAAAAGATTTCTTCAAATGCACGAGATAAATACAACATAAGGTAATAATTTGTAGGTTTAAGAAACCGTAAATAGTAATATTAGTTAATATGTCATAGAACAGCCATAACAAACACGACTACTGATGACAATTGCACTATATAACAAATAACATACAAAGTGAAGTCAACAACAGAACCATGGAATCCGTAGAAACGAAATATTCAAAACAAAGTAAATATATGAAAGGGGATCTGTACACAAGGCGGAGCGGGAGAAGGAGAATTGGCTCTAGACAGGGGGGATGTTAGAGAAGGAGAAGCCTTTGTATCCCTTATACGCATAATACGCAATCCTCGTATAATAGAATCCCGGAATGAACAATATGGATCCGAGTATCGCGAAGAAAAGCCCTAAAGGAAACAATAAAACCCAGAAATCAGCTAATCGAATCTACATAGAATAAAGCTTTTATTCAGAGTTGAAGAGAGAACCATGAGCTCGGTCACCGCCGACTCTGTTGACGGCCATGAAGATGCCGAAGATGATCCCGAGGGTGCCGAAGAAAAGAAGAGCGACGGCGAGGCCGATCTCCTTGTAGGGAGGGCGATTGTTAATGGCGTGGGGATTGTCCATCATGATATCCTCGTCGGATATCGAGAAGGCGTGTTCTACGTACATTGTTTCACTTCAATGTCCTATGGAATTGGATTTGAGGAGATGAATTTGGGGTTTTGGAGGAATTTCTGAGCTGACTAAGATCAGGAAAAGGACAAAAGTCAAAAAGATGAAACAAAATTGGGCATCCTCATTCTTACCATTTACCGTCGGCTACTCGCCTTCTTCGTTGCTTATGTTTCTTGCAAGTCTACATTTTACAACATTTTACAACATTTTAATAGTGTAAATTACAACCCAATCACTTTCACTTTAATTTTACTCACTTTTAATTACTAAATTTAAAAATATTACGTTTTGGTCATTTATGTGGTAATTTTAGCAGAATAATAGTGTAATTTTATTTTCTCAACTAGAATAACAGGAACAATGTATGAGAAAGGATACCAGATTACATAACGTTTACACGAAAATAACAAGATTATAAGACGTTTTCTTCTTTAAGAGGACATCTTTTACAATTATAGATCTGGTATTTTAAAGCTAGACGAAGAAGAAAATGATTTTCTAGGTTCCTCGAGACTTGATTTTTCGAAGTCATGCAGAGAAAAAATAAAATCAGAAACTTCAAAGATCGATATCAGATTAAATTATGCAGCCCAACAATAGACTTTGAAAGATACCATATAATCTTATCTTCTTTATAAAATAGTCGAATAGTTTAATCGACTTCCCCTTCCACTATTCATTTTACTATATATGGGAAATAATCTTTCAAGACACTATAGAGGAAATTGTTTCCCCCATGCCACTATTTGGGCAATTTTGCCCATCTACGTTGTAGTCCCATAAGTCTGATGATATGTCATGTTTGTAAAAAAGTTTCATTTCCTTAAACTTCTAAAGATATATTTTTCATCCTGTTCCAAACAAAACTCTGTCAAAACCCTGGAATGAGCTATGAAAATACAAGTTCCTCACCTGTGCTTTTCTTTCATCTGTTTCACAGAATCGGCTAAATCATGACTCTGTAGTTCCTCTGAGTCTTGGAACTTTAAAAACCCATCTTCTCCATTCCCAATCATATAAAGTTTTCCACTGTTACTTCATAACCTTGTTAATCTATCAGAGTGATGTCATTTTGGATAAATTAGGGTTGGTCAAAAGAACAGAAGAACAACCAAAAGAACACTTTGAGAGCAATATATGCTTATATGCAGCAATACACACACAATGGAACACCTAAAATAATCAAAGGAGCAAGACCAAACCACTGCCACTACCACATGTGAAACTTGTATTTGCATTTCTATTGATGAACTATAGGCAGAAAAGCATTCACCAAAAGCTACATTAACCCTCAAACACTTTTGAAATAATCAGATGGGGAATACCTCCCAACACAATAAGAAAGAAGAAATTAGCTGCTAGACAATAGCTTCTAATAAATAACACTGGAGAGCTGCTAGTGAGTTGATTCATCATTATTGATTACCACTAGTTTGAGGGAAGGAGGTAGAATCACAGTAATAAAAACAAAGGCAGAGAGTTCAAATGCTCAAATGAATTACATTTCAAAATAGCATCTAAAAGAGCACCTATATTCTCTCAAATTCAGATTGTTTCAAATAAATGTAGCCAGAAATCCAGTCGTACAAAAAATTTGAGATGGGTTATCTTAATTAGCCCCCACAAAAAAAAAAACACCATGTGTATTGTGTATAACTCATTTGATCCCTAAAAACACCATGAGTTCTGATCTGATAGTATCTGTTATATCCATAGCTGATTCTTTGCACTGAATATCCATAGATTCTGACTGAGAGAGTTTTTCTTTTTTAATAGAATAAAAAATAAACTTTCAAAAGTGATCAAAATGTAATTTCTATAAAATAGATGACCAAAAGTAAATAGTATTAAAATAAAAGTGATTATTCTTATAGTTTCCCTTTCGTTTTTATTTAAAATTTTGAATAACTACCTATTTGGTCATCCAACTATGGTCGTATTTTTGTTTTGATCACCCAGCTTTATTTTTAAAAAATATATTACGTTTTAATTCTTTACTATAATGGATTGAGGTAGAGTTAGATTCCTTCTAGGCCTACTGTTTACGATCCGATGATAGTTCGGCAAAATCGATAATTATAGCATCCGGTGATAGCTTACTTTCAACAATTATCTGATTTTGATCCCTGAAGCAAAGCTTACGTTCTCTAACTGGTTTATTCAACTCGTTCCAAGAAATTTTCCGGTGGATATCTCATTCGACATCGATCTTTGGAAGCACGCTAGAATTTCATTTTCCATATGTTTGGTAAACTTTATTCATCTTGATTTGTTTGTTGAATCGGAATGTCAAAATTCAGATATAAGGGATGGAGCCTTACTCTGTAAGTTAATTCCTTTCTACGTTTGATGAAATTCGATGGTTTGTTTCTCCTACCATGACTTGCTTTAATTATAAGAAAGAAGTTCATGAAACTTACACGTTCTTATCATGTTTTAATTTGATTTAAACTTATTTTAATGATCAAATGAGTTTAATTTATCGATTCGATGTTACATACAATGTATGTCCACACTGTAGATAACTTATAAAAGAAGTTATAAAACAGGCAAAATGGATGAGGGCAGCACGTCGGTCTATGCAACGGGTGATAAGACTAGCGCCGAAGTGCATATCGACGACCTGAAGGATCTTGAAAGTACCATTCTGGCGGAACCGAAGAGAAAGATGGGGCCGGCCATTTCTTGATGCGAACTGGGCGGTCGTCGAGAAGTAAATTGGTGTGGATGAAGTAGCGGATGGCGTAGATAAAAAGAAGTAATAAAGCAACAAGTCAAATAACATGCTTTACAGATTCAAAGTTAATTAGCTTCAAAGTGCAACATTAGTACCATTTATCTCACAGGATTCCAGTCCTACGAATTTTCATAGAACCAACAGCAAAATGAGGACAAGAAAAGAAATCATTCCCGATGGCTTCTGTACATACCCGAATCTCCGTTCAGCGGATCCGTTATAGGGCTGGATCATTATATTGAATTTGCAATTTCCAACCGTGGGAGTAGGATCGGTTTTTACGATCACTGAAACATTCGGAAATTTGCAGGCTTCATCGAGCTGATTATTCTGTTGAAAGTAGCTGTTGAAGGCATAAGAAATGTTCCCCCTAGAATCGAGATCCCCGCAAGATGTACCGTAACCAAGGCTAGTGCAGTCAGCAGACGAGCATGCATAGTCCACGCTTGGTGCCACCGATGGATCGTCGAGTCTGGCAGAAGGGTTCATCACACACCACTTCTTCTGCAAGTATTGTACACCATTTGCACGAACTAAAGCTCCTGAGTTTGTAGTACCAAGGTTCAGAGGGTATTTGGGAAGCCCATCATAAGTAAAAATCCCCCAATGGCGTTCGAAATTTCCCGGAGCAATGCTTTTAGCATCCTCATCGATCAAGCTAAATAAATATGCATCTATTGGTCCAGGTCTCATTGGGGTTCCTCTCCCACCTGAAATGTGAGACATTAAACCTTGATTGAACCGTCGAGCATACTCTATGTTAGCGTTCCGGTTTCCATCAGTGGGCCATCCAATCTCCCCAACTATGATGGGCAGATCTGAAAATCCATTCCTTTGTAACGCGCGTGCAAGGGTATCGAGGTTAGCATCAAACATGTTGGTATACGATGTCCCGCCATCATTTATCGGCGATGCATTGCCATCAAAGAATGCATACTCAACCGGGAAGTTGGGTTCAGCGTAGAGGCTTATAAAAGGATAGATGTTCACGGTGAAAGGAGCAGAACTAACACTCAAGAAGTTGACGATTGTAAGCATGACCTCATGGATGTCAGCACGGAAGTCCCCATCGGACGGCAAGCCGCTTGAACTTGCATAAACATCAGCATTTTGGGGAACAGTGACTTTTACTTGGTTGTTATGGCCGGCTTTGACCAGTGCAGCCTGGATGTTCCGAAGAGCAGGGAAGGTTATTTCAAGGTAGCTTCCATTATATGTCTCCAAGAAAGGTTCATTACCGACAGCTACATATCTGTAGGGTAGAAATGACAAAACAATGTAATCGGAACTAAAGAACGAAACCTGGCAATTCTAGAATATGCTGAAATTTATGTTGTGATTCGACATCTTAGATATGTTTGTCGGAATTTGCAAACGCGTGCAATAATCCATACCAAATTTTACAGTCAATTGCTTTGTCTTGTACATAAAATACCTAACAGGTTCAAGACAAAAAAGATCAATGTCAACTCATATAAGTCAGTGGAAAGCAAACTATAAGCAAAGACGAATTTTTGGGATTGCAGGGATGGAGATAAAAACAAGCTAAAAACACCAATGTATCCAGATTAAAACCAGCCACAGCTGAAGTTACCATATGAATTATGTCTTCAAAAACTAGACGTGCCTATAGGTAAGGGGCCATTTTCCAGAGATGAACAAGCCTTTTATGAATGTTTAAACTATGGCTAAATTACCAAACACAAGCTATTGAACTAGTTTACCATGGTTAAATGATCCCCTATACATTTATTCTATGCAAATAAGCCCCATATCTTTTGATTTGTACCTATTTTAGGCCTTATTAGCTTATTCTATCAAAATAAACCCCTTCCTTTATTCTTTATCCTTTGGTAGTTGATCAAGTAGCAAAAGCAGAGTTTCAAAGAACACAAGGATATTATCCACAACATTGTAATCTAAGCTTAAACAATAACATGGTAGGAACTGAGAATGAAGAAATAGAAAAAAGAAAAAAAAAACAGAAAGCAGACCTGATGTTGACATTATTGGAAGTGATGTGTTGGGTGACATTTTTTGCAACCCATTTCTCAGCAGCCTTCATGCTGCCACTCAGGGTAGCAAGCATGTCATTTGGGATTCCAACCATGACCTCAATCCCAGTGTTACCCAGAGCCTTAAGTGTATCATATTCTGCATCAAAAGGTTTCACTCTTTGAAACCCATTTTCCTTCAGCAACCTTACAATGGTGTCTGGGGGCAGAGGGTGAGTTGACTGAGTTCCCCAGTTCACCCCAATTCCACCCACACTCCACATCACTATAAACAAACATGCCAACCCAATATTAACTCTACTTTGTACTGAAACCCACCCCATAGTACTAGTCTCGGCTCCTTTGCAGCTATTTTCCACCTTTTAACAACTCATAGTACTAAAAAGTGGTTCTAAAAGTTTTGGTCTGAGGCCTATAATTAGCATAAACCTTCACCAAAAGAAACTCATATCAGAAAAAAGCAGATAAATGAAGTAAAAAATCAAATTACTGATAGGGAAGAGCAAGGAATAGAATGGAGATACTAGTTAACAAAAAGGAAAACAAAGACTAGTAGCATCAGTCAAAAAGAACCCAGATTCATATAAGATATCAGTACAAAGGAAACCAATAAAGCGGAGAGGAAATACATGAAAAAAGTTGGCTTACAAAAAGAAAGGAACATGAAAAAAAAGGCAAGGATCCGTCTTTACATCCGTTGGAGTGCGAACTGAGTAAGAATCTAAGCCTCCACCACCACCGCCGGCCCCTCCTCTAAAAGGTGAAACGCTGTAAAGTAAAGGATTGAGGCAAAAGCTAAGCTGTGAGTGGAGAGTGTGGGGGGAGTGGAACCTACATATACGTGACACGTGGAATGTCAGACAACGGGGAGAACCAAGACCAAAAATGTCATCTTTTGCGAGTTACAAATTACAGTACAAAACAACATCATTGCAAAAAGTATTGGTTTTTGGGCAGCTCTGGTTTGACCGGAGACATGACGGTCGTTAGTTGCAGTGTTAAGACAGCTAAAACTATGCCAAGTTAGGATTGAGCAGGGTACAGCGGCAGACGGCAGTGCTTTTTTTGTTGTTGCTTATGTGGACCTATTGAATTCTACTTTTTCTATTTCAGCATTGCGTTGCATGCACGCACGTGTACAACAATCGACAATCATTGCAGCTTTATACAAACAATCCTCTCCAGTTCACATTCATTTGACATCCAAAATATATCCAGTTTGATTAAGGTATATTAGAATTTATTATATCTAAAATATTTATTTAATCCCTTTATTAAAAAAATATTTAACTTTTTATACGTTTGCAAGTATATATTTTATTTTAAAATTATAATTTATCAACTTTAATATTTTGATTTAAATATTTCTTAAGCCTTGTTAATTTTAAAAGCTGAGTAAATTAATTATTCTTAAAAAGGAAAGTAATTTATTTAATATTTTTTTTATTTTTGGTTATATATATTTTTAGGATGATTTTTTTCATAAATTTCATGAAATGAAGATTTTTTTCAGTTAATATAAAAACCATCATAATTCTTTAAATATTTTTCCATGAACATTATTTTTTATTTTTTAAAAAAATACACTATTTTTTTAAATTTATTAAAAAATTATTTAAAATAAAAATTAGATTTATCCATAGATAGATATTAACTTGATTTGATTAGTATCGTATAATTTGAGTAAAAACTCTTTTAATTTTAATTCGAATTCAAATATAAATGAAATAAGTTTTAGTTTTTATTGAAATTTAATTATAAAAATATTTTTTTAATATTTGGAACGGTGGACAGGCCATTTAAACAAATTTGAACAAGTCGGGCTCTGAAAATTGGACCGCGGCCGGCCCGACTCGAGCCATGTACAGTACAGCGTTAAATTTAACCGCAAAAATAGAGTAGGTACCTAAGAACACTTTCAAATGAAGAAAGAGCCTTGCAGGAACTTTCAGCGCGGCAGGTACCCCTTCTTCTTCTTCTTCAGTTCTTCTCTGTTGTCTCGCCTGCTCAATGTTTCGTATAAACTGGGTATTTGGTGATCATTAGAACAATATCCCTCCAGGATAATTATCGAATCTTTTGGAATCTCTTCTTCCCCTTCCATCTTAGTTTAAAGAGACTGACAAACGGGGCCGTGGCTGGGGTCGCAAACCCAAAAAAAATATATATATATATATATATAATGGCGTTTTATCAATAAACGCTTACGACGTTTTTTAATAAAAATGTCACGACTTTATTGATAGAACGTCATTATAGAGAAAACGCCACCCTGCTGACAAAACACTATTTCTGGATTTTATAGGATAGGCCACTGTGCTCAGATTTCAAATAAGTTCATTGTGAATGGTAGCCTTAGGTTTAGGTTCAAATTCAGACACAATTGGTTCTATAAAGAAACAGACTGCTCTCAACTTTCAGTAAATAAGGGGAAAAACAATGAGTTTCTGGGGAAATAAATGCACAGCGGCGAGACTTTGATTAACTTCCATAATGAATCTTTGGGTTCTTTTTCTTTTCATTTTAGCCTAAATCCAGTTGAACATAGTCGCTTAAAATGTTTCTTTGAACTCGTCCTTTAGTCAAAGCTTGAAGCTGAATATTTGCGATCTGTCTAACAAACTGAAGTGAAGGACAAAATTTGGGTCAATTAGACAACAAGGGAATGAGTAATATGATGGCAATTTAAAATAATCACTCCCGTATTTATTGTTGCATCTATTGCCCTTCTCGTGTAATATTTTCCCTTAATTTCAATGGAAAGTTTGACATCTTAACACACTGCCAATACACTTTTGAATTCCATTCATCCTGCTCGAATGTATGCGTGACATCTCTTTTGATGAATGATTGATTCGAGATATTGGGAATGCTACTTTGCGGTATGAGTAAGTAAATATTAATAGTTTAAACTCCTCTCTTTTCCAAGGTCCAATCAAGATTTCTCTAGCGACTCTCATAAGTTTTTCTCTTTTACTGAATTAATGAATATCATGCGCATCTGTTTGGTTATTGTGAGATATCACTTTGAAACCTGGCACAATTGGTTTGTTCTTATAATACTATTCTGATTCTTTGATCTTTTTTCACCCGAAATTTCATCATATGTCTGTTCACTTATATCTCAATTAAGTAGCACTATTTTATATGTTTGCTTTGTTCTTGTTCAGAGGTCTTAATCTGAGCATTCTTTGCTCATCTGACGTCTTTTGAGTTCTTGGAACCCTATCAAACAGTGTTTCTAAGCCAAGATGAGCATCATAAACTTCGTTCTAAAATCTTGAGAAAACTGTGCATTTATTGTCTACTTTTATAGCTTAGCTATTATCATCAAAGCATATAACAAAACGATGAAACTGTCATCATCAACTGAAAGTTTAAAACCATATTTGTTAAGTTTTTTGCAGTTTTCTTCCACGTGAATTTTTCTTCCATCTAACTGGTTTTGCCATCTACTTATAAAATCTGGGACAGTCTTCCTCCCATGTATGTAGAAACATAGCACGAAAGATCGTCACTCATGGTATGCTTGGTTAGCCTCCGAAGTATGACTTTTTATAGGAGAATAAATGGAAACCTCTTTTAGCGATCACTTATCCATTAAATGAAAAAATTGAAAATTTAGGGGCTAATTTTAGTTTAAATTTATAATCAAGAATAGAGCTTATTACAATATTTTGACTTCCTCATTTTTTTTTTGATAGGAATTGAAGGTCTCATTAAAAAACCCCCTCTTGATTAAGGAACTCAGAATGAGTTTCTTCATCAGAGGAAGGAGGAAAAGAGTGCCTTATACTACATTAATGAAATACATAAGATTACAACATGAAGATAAGTCCCTTACAAAAACTCCTAAAAACCCAAAATAAAATACCCTAAAACACACTGAAATTATCCAATGGCAGATTTAGCCAACCCATCAGCCTCTATATTGGCTGTCCTAGCGATCCATCTAATAACACCCTCAACATCTTTAAGCTTAACAGCTATATCCCTGACAATGAAGACAAAAAAAATGAGGACACAACGTTGCATTCCTAATCCAATCAACTGCTAGTTCTAAAACCATTTATCCCTTCTAACCTACATATTGACCAAAATACCTCGACTCCTAACTATGCACTTGATATATTTAATTATAAATACAAAAAGATCTCTTTCTAATAGTTCACCTGAATCAATAAGTTTGTGGGTTCTTATACTTAATTTATTATCATTTAATTTCTTAGCATTTGTTTTCTGCATAAAAGTATCTTGATGAAGTATTAATTTCTGAATTTATCTAATCATTGTCTCAATATATCATGTGTCTAAATTGTTGATCACTATAATATTCCTCACCAACTCCTTAATCTTGACCTTCCTTCCTACAGCTGTCAGTATGGTGAAAGGTGCAAATTTCTTCATGTGACTCCGCAACAGTCAAAGTCTAATGCATTTGGATTTGGCACTCAATCCAATTCAAACCAACAACAAAAGCCAAATCCTTTTGGTTTTGGAGTCCAGAATAATGCTCAGTCAAAAGGGGCCAACGATTTTGGAAAGCCAAAGTCTAATGCATTCGGATTTGGCACTCAATCCAATTCAAACCAACAACAAAAGCCAAATCCTTTTGGTTTTGGTGTCCAGAATAATGCTCAGTCAAAAGGGGCCAACGATTTTGGAAATAAACAGACCCAGTTTAAGGTTAAATTTGTATATAACAATCTGACTCACAATGTAGTTGCTTTGATTTATGATGTCATTCTGGCTTTTCTTTTTAAAATCAAACTCTGGAAGGTCCTGGATATCCTTTGCTTCTGTTAATGGGTATCCTAATTTTATCTTCTTCTTTTCTTATCATATTGTAATATACTTTTCCTCAGAATACATGGACCCGATCTTCTTCCAGCAGTGGCGCCCCTTCATCACGGCAGCCTGATAATCAGGCACAGGCAACAAACCATAGGTGAGTAGCAAGGAGGGGTTTTTTCATTTCTCTTGGCTGCTGTGTAGCTTCAGAATAATTTGTGTCGTCTTCATTAGTTGAGTTCTACACCTGACAAAATGTGAAACTTTTGGATGCAACAGATGCAATGATCCTGACTCCTGCAAACGCATTATTGCTGAAGATTTTGAGCATGAAAGACCCCTTTGGAAGCTTACATGCTACAGCCATTGGAAAAAGTATGTTTTATCACCTAAATGGTCTACAGGTCTTTCAAAGGGTTTTATAATATTTGTTGCAAAGAGTATTTTTTTAATTTTAAGATCAAAACATCCTCCCAAGAACTGGGTAGAAAGAATAGTTTTATAGTTCAGGTGTTTTAGGCTTCTGGAAATAATTTCATAAAAGATTTCACTTTTTGTTACATTAAGTTTATGGCCTTGAACACATTTAATCATCTTTGGTCTAGGAAATATGTCATTGTCAAAATTCTGAACTTATTGGCTAGTACAGCCTAGACCAATTTTTCTAACCAATTGGCTTTCAGGTGGTAGATATATTTTATTCTTGTAATTATGAGAATGGTACTGGAAAATTAATGTGGTCCAAACTTTGAATTCTTTTGTTTTTAGTTCCCCTTGCGACATTGTTGGTGATGTCAGCTATGAAGAATTGCGGGCAGCAGCATATGATGATGCAAAACGTGGTTTACACTTGCAATCAATTGTGAGGGGATTTTGAATACTTTACTATCTAGATTTACAGTCGCATGTTAATCATATCTACATGCTCACCTTAGCATATATCCGTGATTTCATTTTTAATCTTTACTTTAGAATTATTTTGACATAGGCATATACTTTTGGCTATTTCTGTTATTTTGTTGTAGCTTGGGTGAGAAAGTAAGAAACCTACAACCAAAGGTCAAATAGATCCAGAGAACAGATGAACAAATGACAAAATCAGTTGCAGACATTGTTTCCTTGAATTTCTTGCAAAGATGGCTGAAATACTGTTTTATATGGGGCTTAAACCTTAGGAACTAGGAATTGGCTCGCTAAATCTGAAGTTTGTTTCAACGGAATGTACTTTTACCTTGGATACACATAAATACTCACATATAGACTGATAGATTAGAGAATTTCATAATAGATTTTCTTTGCTAGCCTTGAAAGAATTTCTATGGCTACTTATACGACAATTTTACTCTTAATTAGTGAACAGATCTTGATGTCTTACCATCAAGTTGTTCTTTTCATGCCAAACATTTCTTTGTATTTGTTGTCAGTGTATTTCTGCTCTCCAAAGTGCAAAGAATTTCAAGTTTCTGTCTTCCATCAATTTTAAACATTGTTATGAAAATTATTTTCATATCATAATACCATGTGATGCTAATTAGTGACCGGAACTTACTGATTGGACCAATTATTATCACAGATTGAGCGAGAGAGGAATTTACTCAGTGCAAAGTTAGCAGAGTTTGAAAATCTTCTTCGTAATCCCTATAAGGGACCAGCTGGATCTAGTCCGGCACAACAAATCCCATTTCCGGGGGCCACTCCAGCTGGATTTTCTCCCACTCAAAACAATGTAGGTCCTTCAGTCTCCAGTTTTAGTCAGCTGGGAGCTTCGCTTAATACAGGATTCTCACAGGGGTAAGAATGATACCTATAATAAAAAATATTTTATCTCGTCTTTTCTTGGTTTGTATCTATGACTGAAAATCCCAGACCCCAAGTTTGGCCCTCAGGATTTTATAACCTTGCAAAGAACATTTTCTCAGGCCTTCTGTACATTCCAATAACACCTTTGGTCAACCAACTTCATTCTCAAATTCATCTCAATCCCCAAATGTATTTGCAGCGAACAATGTTTCATCGGCCAATGCCTGTAAGTTTCAAGATTTACCATTTGCACTATTCATGTGCATTTAATATGCATGCTTCTCATTTCAGTATTGACATAACAGATTCATTCGGTAACCAACATCCCAACCAGTCGGTAGCAGCTTCCTTCCCTGCAAACATGGCTAACTTCAGCAACAGTAGTGCCATTAATCCTGCTATTAACCAATTTTCTGCAGCGGCATTACCAACTCAAAACCTGAGTTCATCCAGCAGCCAGTCTCCTGCTGTCTTTAACATCCCACTCCCAAATTCTAAAGCAGATGGACAAGCAACTACGGATGTTCAGTTAGGGTATGTTAATGCAGAAATCTCTCCCTTGGGAAACAAAATCTTTTTCTAACCTGTTGTATTTTATTTTTTGGTATCAGTTAGAAAAATGCTTATTCTTATTTCCGAATGCGACAGAAATAATTTGATGACGAAGGTTGTTTCTGGGGATTCAAGTATTTGGTTAAAAGAGAAATGGACTCCTGGAGAGGTAAATGATGCTTCTGCTAATTTATTTCACTTACTGCAGTCCGCAGCAAAAATGGCGATACGAATTCCATTAGATATTGATTGTTTTGTTTCTGGCATTCTAGATCCCTGAAGAAGCTCCTCCAGATGCCTATGTTTAGCAGGGATTCTTGTCAGTTTATATACATGTTATGCAGGCATCATCTGCTGTTACCATCTGATCTGAATGGCTTGATCTATCAATTGATCCATATGGTGAAATTTCTCTTTTTAGAAAGAAACTAATATGTATGAACTGTAAAACATATGATTGTATTCTTAAATTCTAATTGATTTTGTGTGTAACATTCCCTGAGCTGACTGCACAAGTAGTTGCCTAGGCCAAAATTCAAGCTAAATGGTTTCTATGATTGAGAACTGCCCTATAAAAACTTGAAGATAAGGACGCCACACCTCATCAATTCTAGCAGATACTTTATTTCCTAGTTTGATATCAAACCCTAATTTTAGTGGTAAATTATTTGCCTGAAGGACACTACTAAATGCTTTGAAGTAGGGATGAGTATTCGATTAAGTTAACCGAATTTTTTTTGGATTAGTTAAGTTATTTAGTCTTATTTTATTATTTAAAATTTATTTTAAAAAAATCGAGTCAAATTTTATTAAACTTATTGAATGTTTACTTATAATTATTTATAATATTATAATAAATGTTGATTTCAATTTAAACAATTCAAAAATTAACTAACTGATATGAATTGATTAAAATAAATTAAATAATTTGAAACTAAATATTTTTTTTCTAAAAAAAATTGAGTTATGTTCGCTTTCAAGGTTTTTAGTGAGTGGAGTGACGAGTTCAAATTGCTTCTCTCATTACTGAGAAGGAAGGAGCTGGTACACAAACGCGGTTTCATTTGCAAAGGAAAAGAGATTCGATATCAAAAATCGTGCAGCCAATTTACATTTTACAACCAATGGCTTTGACTCCTCTGGCAATGGCAATTATGTATATGCAGATCTGCCTCCCAGCTTCTATTTACACCAATATTAATTACCTTGCTTTTTCATTTTCACTATTTGGAAAACATAACTGCAAAATTATATTTATATTAATTTTTAAAATTTATTTTATAGATTATATTAAAAAGAATATTTATAAATGATTTTGGACACAAATTATGTGATCTTAGTGGCTAAATGGTTGAGAGTATTTCGAACATATTTTATCTTGTAATCACCTCAATCTAAAAAATACAAAAGAAGCAAAGATAGACCAAATGATTTATCTAAATTTACTATACATAAATATATGGAAAATGAATTCAATAATAAAAATAAGGAATACTTTGTTTTAATCATAATTGAAAAAAAAATAATTAAATAATAATTAAACTAAATCCACTTGCTGACATCCTCCTCTCATGGTTGCAACTATTTGTTCAAATCAAAAAGGATAAATTGTTCACGACAGACGAACTCATCTTGTTTTCATCAACATTATGATTATTATTATTATATCTTAAAAATTCACTATACACTTGCATTCATTTCAGAAACTAAAATGAATCTAATAAAATTATTTAATTTCTCAAAAATATATCCGAATAATCACGATATTATATTAGATTTTTTCTATAATGTTAATATTACAATAGCACATTCAAATTACTAATAACTGAACATAAATTATATCACCTTTCAATTACTTTATTTGTGGCTTGAGTTAACTTATTATGTATTCTTACATTCACTTCAAAGATCACTAATGCATGAGATGAATTAGAAATATTTCTAACTTATTTCATAATATTGTTTCTACCTGATCAAATTTGAAACAAATTTCGTAATCTATGCGATATTCTCACATCAAGATTAATATACTCTATTTTAAATTACTTAACAAATATATAAAAAAAATAAAATTTAAATACCAAAATCATGAAAAATAAATCTTCATATGCAATAATGATGACCTCCCTTATACATGATTGCAAATCATTAAATTTGGACCGTCTTATAAAATCTAATTTGCTTGCCACCAACTTCAACCGATTTATAGTATACGTGCTTGACATGACCAATAAAATGACAGTTCCACTTTACATTATGCCAATTGCTCAATGTCTAATTTACATGAATGCCTATTCATTTGAATTTATCATTAAATTTATATTACATACAATCTATTATTATTAAGGTTCAATTATACTATTGATCCTCAAAGTACCACTTTTCTATTATTTTAGTAACCAAACTATTTTTCGACAAATTTAATCATTAACATTGACATTATGTTTTTTTTTCTATTTTGATCACTGACAATAAAATTTCTATTCAGTTTTAATGTATAGTGATGTGATCTAATATAATAATAGTATTAATCTCCAAAAGTTATACAATTTATTTATTTGATCCTAGTTCAAAATAATTTAATAAAATTAACTCCCCAATAAAATAATGGCACATGTGATAAACTTTTCAGTAAAAATGAAGAAAATACAAATGGACTTGGGAGGGATCAAAACCCAGACTTAGGGTAAAACCATTGCTTAATCATTGGGTCAAGCTAAACAATTGTTACATGATTGACAAAAATAATATTTAGGTTAAACTATGATTCAAACTTATTATTAAGAAAAATATATATTGATTTAGGAAATATTATACTTAGGGCCTAGAATAACTCAACCACTAGACCACCTTATATAATTGTTATATGATTGATAGAAATAATATGTTAATTAATATATTGTTGAAATTAATTATATATTTGAATTATTAAAACAATGTTTGAGAAATTAATAAAAAATATTAAAATAAATTTCTCGTATTTTATATTCGACAATTGAATTATTGCAATGAATTTAAAGATAATATTTAATGATTTAAAAAATAAATCTCAAACTAGTAGTATATTAAATGTATATAAAATCTAAAATATTTTTTATATCTCTTTATTCTATCGAATAAAAATATTTTTTATTAATATAGAGTCAAGTTAAGGTTGAATTTTTAATTCAAATTTAAGACAGACATGGATCAAATAAAAAATTTCAATATCTAAATCAAAATCAAGGCCTAAAATGTTGACTCATATAGTTTTGTGTCCATTCTTAATATTAACAATTATTAGAATTCGAGTCCTACTATCAATTTCAGTAAATGAAAAAAAATGGTTGTCCCTTGTTCTCATATGTAATGGGGTAGGAGGAGGTAAGATAGTAGGTTGCCTCCAAACACTATGTTGAAAGCAACTTCCGTAGGAGACCTCCAACACTAGGTAGGATAGTAAATGAGTTGTCTATAAATCACATTTCATAGTCTTTAACGAGATTGGTACAATATGATCTGATTCTAAACATAACTTGTTTTAGATACAAAATATATTTTAAGTAACTGAAATAATTAAAGTTAAAACTTTACAAAACTGAAAAAGAAAGCAAAGAATGCACAGGTGTGCATCCCATGTTTCCAAACTAGTTTGACTCTTCTCCGATTGCAACGCGCATTGCTTTGCTTGCTTGGATGGAAGAAGAATCCAATCTAATGCCGGCCTGTAATTTTAAGAGACGTGCCACCATGTCACCATGTTCTTTGTTCTCTGTAATTTTAGTTTAAAATAATTATAGTTACATTTACACAGGCGACACAAGTAGTGTGGAAATTCATCATTTCAAAGTTTGGTTAATCAATAAACTAATCAACTACTCAATCCAACAAATACAGTAAAAGATTTAATAAAATAATAATAACTAAAAATAGAAGGCCAAAAAGGTGAAAATAAAATCCAGGGTTTACAATTATTATGCTTTATAAAGCAAACCATGTGGATACAGGTTTTTGCTCAGAACATTAACATATGGCACAATCGCTCATCTCCATGTGATCTATTCTTTTCTCTCTGTTCATTGTTGTGCAAAACTGCAAATGTCTCCTTTCTTTTGCTTTCTTATTGGTCTTGTGTTAGTTTCTACTTCCGTTGTGTCGGCAGCCGATGAGGTGGATCCGAGTTTAAGGTTCGAGAATCCGAGGCTTCGTGAAGCATACATTGCTTTGCAAGCTTGGAAATCTGCCATATTTTCGGACCCGTTTAACTTCACGGCCAACTGGAATGGCTCTGATGTGTGTTCTTATATGGGAATCTATTGCGCTCCCTCTCCTTCAAATCCTAAAATCAGAGTTGTTGCCGGTATTGATCTTAATCATGCCGACATCGCCGGTTACCTCCCTCCGGAGCTCGGTCGCTTGACCGATCTCGCGCTCTTTCACCTTAACTCCAACCGGCTTTGTGGCATTGTCCCGACCAGTTTCCGCCGGTTGAAGCTGCTTCATGAGCTTGATTTGAGCAACAACCGATTTGTTGGCAAGTTCCCCAATGTGGTTCTCTCGTTGCCTGGTTTGAAGTACTTGGATCTTCGGTTCAATGAGTTCGAAGGGTCGGTTCCCTCGAAGCTATTCGACAAGGAACTGGATGCGTTGTTTTTGAACGACAACAGGTTCAGATTTGGTATTCCTGAGAACCTGGGGAACTCTCCTGTTTCGGTTCTTGTCTTTGCTAACAACGATCTCGGAGGTTGTATTCCTGGAAGCATTGGGATGATGGGCAAAACGTTGAATGAAATCATCCTCATGAACGACAATCTTACCGGATGTTTGCCTCCGCAGATCGGGATGCTTAAGGAAGTTACTGTTTTTGATGTCAGCTTCAATCATCTCCAGGGATCTTTACCGTCTACAATTGGAAATATGAGGAGCTTAGAGCAGCTGGATGTTGCTCACAATGGCTTCACGGGTGTGATTCCGGCCACCGTGTGCCAGCTTTCCAGGTTGCAGAACTTTACTTATTCTTTTAACTATTTCACTGGAGAACCACCCAGTTGTTCGGCGATATCTGGCGCAGAGGTGGCGAATGGTACTATGAACTGTATTCCTGGAAAAATGGATCAGAGATCTTCCGGGGAATGCTCTTCGGATGCTGCTAGACCTGTGGACTGCAGCAAGTTTAAATGTAATGGTGGTGGAAGTTCCAGAGGGGGAGGTGGTGAAAGCTCACCGCCGCCAAAAAGGAGTCATGCTCCACCAACGCCGCGTCAATCTAGTTCACCGAAGTGGTTTAGGAATTCCCCGCCACCACCTTCTTCTAAGTCTTCGCCTTCCAGTAGATCACATCCTCCACCACCACCATCATCCCAGTCTTCACCAATGCCTTCTTATAATTCCCCGCCGTCACCGCCACCACCGAAGTACTCTCATGTTTCAACTCCACCGCCTCCAACTCAAAGAACATCACCAAAGACGCATCTTCCGCCGCAACCTCCGCCTGTTCACTACGAGCCTGCACGCTCTCCACCTCCAATGGTACAACCACCTGCACCAACCCCATCAGGCCATTACTATAACACTCCACCACCAAGCCATTACCACAATACACCACCCTCACCACCAGTAGAACAACCAACTCCATCAGGGCATTACTATAATAATCCACCACCACCACCGGCATCGCCAAACAATCAATACAACACACCGCCTTCGCCGCCGCCACCAACAAAGAATACATCACCAATTACCCATTATGCACCACCTCCTCCCCCACCGGCTTATTATGTTCCCACGCCCAGTCATTCATCGCAGCCACCGCCGCCACCTCAAGGTCAGTATTTCCCACCTCCATCAACGGGGCGGCAAGCAAGCCCCCCTCCACCTCCGTCAACTAATGAACATCAGTCTCCGCCTCTACCAGTAGAATACCATCCACCACCACCATCTTACGAGCATCAGTCTCCACCTCCACCAGCAGAATACCATCCACCACCGTCATCTTATGAGCATCAGTCTCCACCTCCCCCAGTAGAATACCATCCACCACCGTCATCTTATGAGCATCAGTCTCCACCTTCACCAGTAGAATACCATCCACCACCGTCATCTTCTGAGCATCAGTCTCCACCTCCACCAGTAGAATATCATCCACCACCCAAGGAGTCATGTCATACTACCCCTCCTCCACCGCCACCGCCGCCAGGATGCACAACTCCCGTATCAGCACCACCGCCCTCGCCAAGCCAACACTCAACTCCACCATATTCACCAACACCCGATCATCACTATTCACAACCATCTCCACCGTCCCCACAGCATCAAAGCCCTCCACCAACCCACTATGCATATACATCCCCGCCGCCGCCGCCTCCATCGCCATCTCCTCCACCGCCACCCTCATATGAAAACACACCACTTCCACCGATCAGAGGAGTATCATACGCTTCTCCTCCTCCGCCGGTTATTCCCTACTACTAAAGTATTGCTTTTTCGCGCCATTGAGTTGTAATTCAAAATTCTTGTGGCGCAACCATGAGTAGATGGCCTGTTAAATTGTGTGTTTTTTTGTTGAACTATTTTTCCCCATAAATATCTAATAATTTATTTCATTTCCTCTGTATTGTTCTGCTAATATATGTGATATACAGGCAATGGTTTGATCATCTTATGTATAATTCATAGACATATATATATATATTGATTCAATCAGAAATGACCGCAACTTTTCTCACAAATAGCTAGTCACAAGACGACATGTTTTTTTCTCTTGTCACGGACTTGGATTCAATTCTTTGCGTTGGGACACTTAAAGGTTTTGCTGTTAATTATAGAAATAATGATAATAATGATGTGTGGTAGGGATGAGAAAGGGACGGTTTTATGTATTTGGATTGATTTGGTAGTAAAAGCATTTGATGGTTCTTGTTGGTACTTATAGCATAACAACAACAAAATGAAGTGTCCGACATTATTAAGCACATGGTATGCATCTGATGTGAGATGGAAGGTTAGTGGGTCAGCAGAACAAAGGTTGATGGCGCCGTACCTCCGGATCTGAGACGCGGAGAGAGGTTGATTTTAGTTGTGAGTTTTGGATTTTATGCCACCACCTCTCCCCATTAAGAAATATGTAATATTTGTAGGATTTTCCGTCAGTTACTGTCAATACTCGCCCTATAGGAATTTTCCTTTCTCTTTTTCCAACAAAAGGATTTTTCTTTTCCTTTCTCATAGCACAACACTCAGTCACTCATATATGCGCTTAAAATATCTCCCTGCATAGGTTTTATGCCACCACTAGTGATTCTGGGTTATATCAAAAGAGTGAACCACTTGCAATCACCGCAAACCACTGTCTTTCTTGTTGAGCATTAACAAAATTTTAGTATCAAGAGAAAATTAGATTTGAAAGATAGTCTCTATAATAGATTTTCATAAAATTTAATTCAAATTAATCGATTGATATGTCGGATCACTATAATACTAAGAAAAAGTTGAAGGGCTTGAATCCATGAAAATGAAATTTTAGGTTCAATCTGCTCGATGGGCTTAATCTAGTGATCCAATTGAGGAGAGTTCTTAATTCTTATTACGTTTGGAGCATAATATTCATATTTGAAAAGAACAAACCTAATTAGCTGCAAGAATTTTGATGAATTGATTAGACCAAAAAACAAAACAAATAAAATTCAATCCAAAATCGACATGAAAACTGTCAAATGCAAATTGTGTACATTAATTGGATGTTCTTCTATTATTGTTGTTAAAACGTAGAGCATTCTCAAATGAAGACCTGATCAAGAGAGCGCCTCTACTGCTGCAAATCACATTCACATCATGTGTCCTTGAGCTTGAAGTTGAACTCCTCCTTGGAGGAAACACCACATGCTCTTCTATTCCATCTTCCGCCAACAACATCGACCTACTATCTACTATCGACCGATATGATCAATCTTCTTCTCGTCATCCTTAGCTTCCACACACGTCACCCCTCAGCATCTTTTCACTTTCAACTTCACTAGACTTGGACACCCTTCTCCCACTGTATTGATTCCGGTATCAGAGATAGGGCAGTTCTTAATGCACAGCTTCTCCAGAGCGTTAAACTTAGCGCCGATGAATTGCATCTCCGGGTCCCTCACGGATTAGGTATTACAAAGCGCCATTCTTTCGAGATTTTGGCAGCCTGTAGTCAGGGCATTGAGGGAGATGACAGTGATGGGCACTCCTATGAGTACAATCTCTTGAAGGCCAGAGCATTTGATTGCAATAGACAAGAAGCTGTCCTCGTTGATTGCCTGACTTCCGAACCTGCTCCACGCATCGATGTGGAGCTTCCGGAGTTTCCTGCAGGAGTTAGAGATGGCAGTCAATCCGTGATCCGTGCAATCGGTGGCCCTGCTGAGGTAGAGTACCTGAAGGCGAGGACAGGAGCGGGAGATTGCAACAAGGCCTGGATCTCCCATTTGCACATTATCCATTTGTATCTCCACAATGCTAGTACTAGTAGACTGAAGGCTCTGCAGCACCGAATCCCAGTTTCCCGAACTCATACACACAATAAGGGTCTCGAGGATCTGAGCGGACGAGCACAGAAGTGGAATGAAAAGTCGAGCACTATGAAGATCCTTGATGCACAACCTCTTGAGCTTAGCATAACCATAGCAATCGTTGGCGTTCGATTTGGCGTTGAAATAGGATTGATGTTGTTCTTCTTGGTGTTGCAATGACAAAAGAGTGGTTTAGGCGCCAAGCTTGCGGAGGCGCTTTAGTGTGAAGTCTCTAAGAGAAGGGCAGTTTCGAAGAAGAGAAACAATGCCTTTGCTTCCAATCCCACACGAAGCAAAAGAGGGTTTACTGAGCAGAGGTGGATGGTGCAAGGAATGCAAGGAGACCGTTGTCGGTAACGTCGACGCAGCCCTTCAGCTTAAGCTTCTTTAAAGAAGGCAGCAAGGTCGGAATGCGAGCCAAGGCATCATCGTCTACGCTAATGAGCTTGCGGGAGCATTTGAGGGAGAGGACCGAGACTGACCTGAAACGAGCGAAAAGTGAACGGAACCCAAGAGAAATCTCGGAACGAGAAGCCAAGACGAGACGTTGCCTTGACTTGGAATTCACATGGTTCCAACAATTGCACACGAGTGAGCAGTTGTTCCTGTCATGACAGCCCAGCTTACCGAATATCAACGCCAAGCACTCGTCGGGTAATGCCAGTGACAGATCTCCACTATGACGGAAAGAAGAGGAAGAAGAGCCTTGACCCATTAATAGGCCTTATTCGAAGTTTATTCTTTACAAATATTTGCACCAGATTAACCATAAGAAATGAATTTTGGTCGGCTTATTCATTAAAGATACAAAAAACCAGCAACAAGGGTATCGAGAAGGTTGGCTAGTTCAACGGCGGAAGCGATACATGGTCGTGTTGGAAACAGTGAAAGGGAAAGAGACGAGTGATGAGCATTGCAGATGAGCACTTAATGTAGTAAAATGATTAATGGATATCGATAAACACCAGCTAAGCATAGCAGATGAGCACTTAATGTAGTAAAATGAGTAATGCCGGGGGGCATTGTTTTAACAACAATATATCACATTATATGGGATAAAAGCATCTCATTTCATTCCAACTCCAAATGAACTCATCGTTGTTGAAAGAGGGTGTCTGGATTTGATACGGGTGAGACCGAATCTCAGGTGGGTCGCCGGAAAACCATCACCGAAGAGAGAGGGGAGCTTAAAAGAAACCCAAAAATTACAGACAGTAAGTTTCTTTCCATCAAAAGATTACTTGTTTTCTTATTTTTGGTTTTGTTTGATTTTTCAATGGCGAAGCCACCAAAAACGGCAAGCAAAGCGGGACGCCATGTTTTTCTAACAAAACAACCTCAGTCGTTGTCCGGAGATTGGGGAATGGATCGACTAAACTCACCTGTGTATATAGCAGACGAATCTAGGCAAAATCTACTCAATAAAATGCCAATAGATACATGTTATTGTTTAACACAAATTTCATCAATATTTTGAGCGGGTGGCACGAATCTAACGGTTATATTTAAATGGTCTAATTTTTCTTTACTCCCTCTAGAGTTGTGAATTTAGTCCATTTTTAATATGACATCTTTACTTCTATGTTTTTTTAAAATATGAAATTTCAATTATTATTAAATTTTCAAAAAAAGTATAAAATAATAAAGAGCTAATGTTATATATATATATATATATATGAGAAATAGGGTAAACTACCTATTTAGTAATCCATCTATTACTTAATTTTTGTTCTGGTCACATAATTATTATTATTTTTTAAAATCATATCTAACTTTATATTTTTGTTATGTTTTGATAGTAGGTCATTAAAAATTAAAAATATTAGGTGTAATTATGAAAAGAATAATAGTTTGATAATTAAAACATAAATTGAATAATAAATAGATAATGAGATAAGTAGTTTGCCCTAAAAATAACAGATTTTGCCTAATTCGTCTGTTATATAAACAGGGAAAGAAAGTGAGTCCACGCGCAATTGTAAGCGGGTGTAAATAAAAAAGTGAAAAAAGAAGGAAGGAGTGAGATGGTTGTGCCACGTGGGCCAGGAACATGCGTAGAGACTTGGCAGTTGGCATTATTCCAATCATTTTACTTCAATCTCATATGATATGCCCATGCTATGTCCTTCTTCTTCCTCCATGTGACCCTCGCCTTCGCCGTTTATTTTCTCTTCCCCCCAACTCTTCTTCCTTTATCTTCTTTCCTCTTTAGATTAACCCCATATTTATTCATTCTTTATCCTTTGATCAATAACAAGCATCACCCAATTGATGAGGGAGAGATAAAATAGAATGAAAAAGGGTCCAAATCTTCTTATTTTGGCGATTCCCATTTTCCGGGTACTTTTTTTCTCTCTAAAGCTTTGTCTTTAATTTCTTTCCGTCTCAAACTGATTTGGGTTTCTTTTATTGAATCTGGAAACTTCTAAATTAGGAAGCTTTTTGCTGGGTTTTCATTTCAGCTGTTGTTGATGGATTTAGTTGAGTGGTAGCTTTGTTTTTTTTTTATTATGCGGATTCATTCTATACTCTTCTTACGATTTCTCGGTAGGTTAATTTTAGAGATTTGATGATTTCTGGTGCTCCTTTTTTTTTGAGTTATCGGATGGAGAATCAATCTTTTCTTGGTGTTAAGATCAGTGAATTTGTATGATTCCACTTTGGTTAGAGTTCACCACACTGTTAAACTACATGGTGTGAGCTGGAGATTGTCTCATGTGTAATAAAGGAAAAGTTGATCAACAACAACATACTAATCAAGTTGTGTTTTCCATGGATTCAACTTCATCAACCCCGGCATCTGCCTTGGCTCCCTCCACCCCTGGTCCCAATGACGAAATCCCGCGTATAAAATTCTTGTGTAGCTTCTTAGGTAGCATTTTGCCTCGACCCCAAGATGGGAAGTTGAGGTACGTTGGTGGAGAAACGCGAATCGTAAGCGTTCCCAGAGATATAAGTTACAAGGAATTGATGAGTAAGATGAGGGAGCTTTATGATGGAGCAGCAGCTCTGAAATATCAGCAGCCAGATGAGGATCTTGATGCTTTAGTGTCAGTTCTGAATGATGACGATGTGATTAACATGATGGAAGAGTATGAGAAGTTGGGTTCAGTTGATGCCTTCACTAGGCTTAGGATATTTTTGTTCCCAAATCCTGACCAAGATGGTTCATCACACTATGTTGATGGGGATGACAGGGAGACTGAGAGGAGGTATGTGGATGCTTTGAACAGTTTAAATGAGGGCTCTGATTTCAGGAAGAGTGACTCGCCTGTGATGGCTCCAGTTTTCGATGATTTTCATTTAGTAGAACAATTCTTCAACAGTATGAGTATTGATGCTGGCCTTCATAGTCAGAGGAGTGGCGAGATGTTTATGCCACCTTATAACTTGCATCATCTTACTATTCCTCGTATGGGGTCTGGGCAACTCCAGCAACCAGTTCCTCAGAGATACAATGAAATGGAAGGTCTTTGGAGTCCTGCTTACTATTCTCCAAGACAAGCTGGACATCATGATCCTCGAACTCCATCAGAGTTTCCAGTTTCACCATCCACTCGTTACCGAGTACCGTTTACAGACGGACAAGACAAATGCTTGGATCAAATGCCAGAAGATTATGTGCGGCAGAAATTAAATCATCATCTTCAATTCGAACACCAGCCACAGTTTTCAGATAATGTATCATGGATGCCAACTGGAGCTATTTCTGGTGATAAGGCTGGTGTTTTTCCTGCTAACATGCTTCACGGTCATGGTGTATATGAGGGGAAAACCATCTGCGAGCACTGTAGGGCTACTTTCAGTAGGAATCAACCACAACTTTTGGAGCATTCCAACATGGGAAAGAGTGGACCTCAGGTTAATAGTCCATGTGAGTGCCCCCCAAACCAGGAAGCTTTCATGTTGAATGCGGATGGAAAATTGCATCATGTGACTGATCCCATTTCTCCTTATGGTGAAGCACAGAATTATGAAAGAGGGATGGTTTTGCAGCACCAACTGAAACCTCGTCTTGAGGAACTGAGAAATCATGTACATGGAGCTGGAAGGTTGAATGACCATTACGTTCTTGATGGTGCTGGCATGAATTTACCACTTGGGCATGCTACTTTAGCTGATGGCCATCATCTGCCCTCAAATTATGTTCCTCGCCGAACTGGATCAGAATTTGGGAATGAAGCATTTCATGATCAAACCTTGGTTGCTTCTACCCACATGCACACTCCTCTTGAAGAACGTGGAGTCCACTATGGGAATTACCCTTGCCCATATGGAGGAGATAATATTTACCACTCGTCACATGGACATGTACATGTACATGCACAATCTTTATGGCGAAATGTGCAGAGCCCAACTCATGGTGCCCCTCCTTATGAAGCATCTGGCTTACCCCAGCAAGTAAGTACTGCAGTTAATTCAGCATTTTTTAAGGGTCTGGCAGAAGGTAGTGCAAGGCTTTGTGTTGCAACAGATAATCAAAATCCTTGGGTCGAGTCCTCACAAAAGATGCTAGGTTTTGATGCGACTGCTGTTCAAGAAAATGCTTATGGCCATGCTCTCAAGGTGATCGTTGGTCCTCATGGTCAGGAAACTCAACACCCTGTTACTATAGAATCAGATCAATGCCCACAAGACGCATTAAATTTTGCCCCTTCCACAGAACATGCTCTAAAAGATCAGCATTCAACTTTAATCCATGATAAATCTGTTTCCAGTAACAACCCAGAACCACAAGATGATTCCAATGCTACAGGAGCATTGAGGACTGAGGACAAACATGTTCCCATGGAAGATAAAGGAGTAAATCATGATGCAAAGATTGGAAAATCTGATTTTCCAAATATGTGTTGTCTGGAGCAAAATAAGATTACTGAAAATTTAGCATCGATTGAACATAGCAATTCAAATTTTCAAGAAATTGCTGTAAAGGGTGATGAGCCTGAAAAACCTGGTGAAAGAGACCCTAGTGCTGCTGAAAATTCGAAGCTTTCTGTAAATCGTATGAGTTTCATACCAGAGTTTGTTGCTTCAGTTAAAAAAACAGCTTTAGAAGAGGTTGAAGAAGTGAAAGTCAAAGTTGAATATGGTGCCTCCATGAAGCATGATGCAGTTGAAAATGAAGCTGCTGCGGATGAACCTGAATCAGTGGTGAGATTGAAGAAAATTTCTTCACTTCAAAACATCTTGCAGTGTTTTGTTTTTATCTTTCTAATATCAGTTTTCCCTCTAGAATGCCCATGCCGAGTTAGAATTGGATTATGATAATGACAACATGTCCCCTTCCAAAATAGAGCCGACAAAAGCTGAGGAAGAAGCAATTGCAAGAGGCTTACAGGTCATTATTCTCTTTTCATTTTAACAGATTAACTCTTTTTGTTTCTTTTTCCCCACTAGCAGTTCTTAAGATCATTGAATTCTTACATTGTCTACACATGTTACCATTATATATATATATATATATATATATATATACTCCTCAGACTATTAAAAACGATGATCTAGAGGATATCCGAGAATTAGGCTCCGGAACATATGGGGCAGTTTATCATGGCAAGTGGAAAGGTTCTGATGTAGCTATTAAGAGAATAAAAGCCAGCTGCTTTGCAGGGAGGCCTTCTGAAAGAGAACGTTTGGTAATAACTATTTGCACATTTTCCTTTTATGAAGATTTGGTTGCTTATCCTTGAAATACAATGTTGCTTGATGGTCAGGGTTAAACAATGCTTCCCCTGATATGTCTTGTATGTCATTGTTGCAATGGTGTTTGTTTAACCATATAGAAAACTTTAAAGGGATATTCCACAGTAAGAAAAGTGAGTTGGTTAGAAGTTAAAAGGAGGAAGAAACAAATTTAATGTTTCTTACAACTTTTCCTTTTCCAATTATTGCACAATGGCTAAATGATGAGTGCTTTTATTCCTTGAAGAATGAACATAGATGTTGTTTCGCATGGTATGACAGTAGCTTCTTTTTAACTTTAAAGGAAAAAGTAAAAATTATGCAACTTTTGATTGCTTTTCTATGCCTGTACTCAAGGCTTGAAATGCCTTGTAAAGCTTCAATTATTTCCAAAAGGCAAGAGGGAAGATTTTAAGAAAAACTCTTATAAATAGATTAAATAGAAGCAATTCAGATGGCGAATCATATGTTGGAAATTTTTATTTCTATTTATGACATGATAAGAGGTATCTTATAATTGCTTAGCAGTAATTAACTTTCTGAGCTGCATCCTGTCAATTGTTTACTCTTCATCATTTTGTTTGAGAGATCTTATTATCACTACAGAGAGAGTTCTTAGTTGCTCTTATGTTTTTTTGTCCCATCATATGTGTAGAAAGAAGCCAAGATTAGGAGTCTAATTCATCTTAGAAGTCTGTTTTATTTGTAATTTTATCGATACTTTACAATCAATCTTTATTTTCTTAGGAGATAAGGGATAGGAGGAAGAGAAACCTAGTAGGAATCTAACTTTTAGCTCATAACCTATCAAATAATGTTTTTCTATTTTGAGGAGATATACGATCAAGAGAACATTTTTTTCTTTTCAAGAGCTCTCGTGATATATACATTTAGGTTTCTCATATGTTGATTGATATCAAACTCTATTTTTGTGCTGCTCTAGATTGCGGATTTCTGGAAAGAAGCTTTGATATTGAGTTCTTTACATCATCCGAATGCTGTTTCTTTCTATGGTATAGTTCGTGATGGTCCGGATGGATCCTTAGCTACTGTTACTGAATTCATGGTTAATGGATCCTTGAAGCAATTTTTACGGAAGAAAGACAGGTAACCATGTTAATATCCAATTGTTCAGTTGCCTTTTGAGCATCTTTACTGCAGTTTGTTTCGGAATTAATGTTGTTTGCATGCGGTTGTTTGCCTTAACATGCATCCCTTTTGTTTCATAGCAGATTAAACAAGCTAGAATGCAATATGTTCTTAATTAATGTGTGACATGATAATGTTATTGAGCAGGACTATTGATCGTCGTAAGAGACTCATCATAGCCATGGATGCTGCATTTGGAATGGAGTATTTGCATGGAAAGAACATTGTACATTTTGATTTGAAATGTGAAAATCTGTTGGTAAATATGAGAGATCCACAGCGTCCAGTGTGCAAGGTATGTCGTCTTTTAAATTGTTTCTAGAACTAAAACTTTAAGATGGCTCTGCACATGGAGAAGAGAAAAAGGGGTGGGGGATTGTTTAGTAAACTTTTGTTCTTCCAGAGTTCCTTGAAAACTCTGGATGTTATTGTCACCTTGTTGCAATTTCTTTTATAGTGGAAGCTTGGTATGAGTTTCAGCTTTAGCGTAGGCTTTTTTAATATATTTTCTTTCAAGCATATTACTATCAGTCTTCCTATAACAACCAATGGAGTTGGAACTCATGCAATGCAAGCGTACCTTTTTAGATTGGTGATTTAGGCTTGTCAAAGGTCAGACAGCATACATTAGTTTCTGGAGGGGTTCGTGGAACTCTACCGTGGATGGCACCTGAGCTTTTGAGTGGTAAAAGTAACATGGTCTCTGAAAAGGTAATACTATATACCGAGTGTAAAAAATCGAGGGACAAATGCCAGTTGTTTTGAACCTGAGTTATTTGTTTCCTTTGCTGCGTAAGGTTTATTTGGCCAGATTAACTTATTTCGTGTTTCATCTATGTCTGTGAGTCAGATTGATGTCTACTCTTTTGGGATCGTCATGTGGGAGTTACTTACTGGCGAAGAACCATATGCCGATATGCATTGTGCTTCTATAATTGGTAAGTGTCACAAACTCTTACGAGGTTCATTTCTCCAATTCCATTCATGGAGAACATACTTGGTTGCACTCTTGCATGCATGCTCAAAAGAAAATGGGGATGGAGTTTATGAACACTTGGGGGCCGGGGGTAAGCATAGAGAGGAGTTTCTTGTTGGGAAATCTCTTATTAATGCCGAGTTTTTCTTTCTGTCTTTGCCTTGAGACTCGAAATGAAAGCTGATTAACTTCTGTTCTAAAATATCAATGTTTTCGTATATTCTTGTATAATTGGCACTACCCATCTGTTGTTGTTGAACCTTGAAACTTTTAGTACAGGATAAACAGAGTAGGGAGAGAAAAGAGAGGGGAAGAGACTGCTTCCAATATACAAATATGACAAAAGTCCTTGAAACATTACGTAAAAATCGCATCCATAACGCAACCCTAACCCTCCTTTCTGTAAAATGAGGGAAATCTCATAAGTAGTGCCTCAAAGTTTATCCTCCATCGTCGATTGTAAAAGCAGTGGCCTAATCAAAATGTTTGTATTATAAACTTCTAAAGTTCTAAAAATTCCAGCATTATTGAAGTATGGTTCTGTTGTTAGAGATTTTAGCATTGCTATTTGCTGATTAAGAAGCACCCAAAAGAGAATTAAGAAGGCGACTTCTGTTCATTTATTTGTTTTCTTTAGTTTGTAGGTCTCTGTCTGTCAAAGTTTCTTTTGTTTTCCTATATGAATTGATCTCTGTTTTTAAATTTTCTGAAAATAAGTTTTGTTATTTGACATGGAAGAGAAAATTAATGGATGGATGGATGAGAAAGGACTTGTAACTTTCTTCAATATAGTTTAGACTTTGAAGGATCTTTTCTGATTTGATGGTCTCTGTTCAACTTGTATGCATGTCCTTATATTGAGATGCTTAGCATGAACTCAGGTAATGGATTTTTAACTGCATTCTTTGAACATGCAGGGGGAATCGTAAACGACTCTTTACGTCCAGCAATACCAGTATGGTGTGATCCAGAGTGGAAGGCTTTGATGGAGCAGTGTTGGGCCTCTGATCCCGCAGACAGACCTTCGTTTTCAGAAATATCTCAGAAGCTGAGGAACATGGCCGCGGCTATAAATGTAAAATAAAGGCAAATCCGAAGCAAAGAATTTAACTTTCTCGCCATCATACTGGGAAAATAAATAATTAAATAAATAAAAGGAGCATTAATGCAGTTTAATGCCGTCTATTGGCTAATAATAAACTACTATATTATGCATATGCCACTGGTTCTAAAGAGTGCAAATATGTACACTGTGGCCTCTGGGAGACTTCATGATACGCCCGTGAAAGCTTTGCTCGAAATGGTTTCTTATGATCGTTATCGTGTTTCGACTTCCCCACTCAGGACTTTTGCTGTTCTGATAGCCATCAAAGCTGGCGGAACTGTGGGAGAATGCATCTGTCGTATGAGGTGGGGCTTCTTTTTTGTTTTCCTTTTCTTGATAAGATGCATATACATTTATGGTGAACCAATAATGTACATAGCTTAAGAACTAAGGCAAAGTGGTACGATTTTTTATTAATCAATTTTGCCCTTATTAACAAAGATCTGATATATATCCTGTATTTCTTTTTTCAGTTGTATATGATTTGAGCTTGTAAAGTTGGTTCTTTTTGTTTGTTAATTTTGGTTGTTGGAGAAAAGGCTCACACGGTCTACCTGCAATACTGAAAATAGCTCTAGTACCTGGGAATGGAATATACTCTCTTATAAAATCACTGATTGGTCAGTGGTGTATTATTTGTTTGTGATGATGTCATGGGAGAAGCCCAAAAAAAGTAAAGTAGGCAATGCTTTGCCATTTATACGAGATGGAGCTGTGAGATTAAAATTGCGTATGCATTAGTAGACAATTCTTTTTTTGTTTAAATATCGCATAAAGTGTAATATACGTTTAGATGTATTCAAAATTATTATTATTTAGATAATATTCATGTTAATTGAATTAAAATTGAATTAATAATTTTTATTAAATTTTGAATACGATAATATAAAATAGAATTATTTATATTAAGTTTTGCTGGTAAGATATAGAGTTTTGATAAATCAAATGCTTTAGAAAGATAATTGAAAGGCGAATTAGTACATAAAATTGTAATGATTTATTATTTTAAATATAAAATTAAAGCAGAGAGTACTGTATGCGGATGAATAACAATTTTATAATTATTTAAACGTTTAAAAATCTTTAGGTTTTGGATCATATAATATATGTTAATCATTATAATTATCTCAAGTGAATCTGATAGCGAAGTGAATAATATAAAAATTAAAAACAGATATATATATTTTAAAAGCGAATCATTAAATCAGGGTTGTGGAAGGTGGAACTCAAAACCACGTGAAAAGAAGATGAAGGGAGACCCAACCTCTTGTCAACAAAAGGGGTCTTTTTTATTATTTCAGTCGACCATTTTACTATTTTATAGAAACAAGATAAGAAGAACAATTTGGCACAAAGACACCAACCATGGACGTACGAATGTGATTTCCGAGTGATGTTCATCTTTAACTCTTGACATAATTAAGAGCTGGTTTGTTACAGACAATTTTTACCAGTGTTTTGAAATTTTCAACTGAGCTACCGTTAGGCTTTACTGCATTATAAGCCAGTTCTTTCTCAAGTCCAATTTTTTCTCTCATTTTCTTCCCTTGTTCGCCGCTCAATGTCATCTTCAACGCTTTCATTACTCCTCCTTTCGTCAATGTTCCCCCCTCTAATCCCAATCCGAATCCCCATACAGCCTCCACAGTTCGAGTGTTTAATCCTTGGTCTCCGAAAAATGGCCTGAAAATCATCGGTACACCGCCCACGATACTTTCCAGGATCGAATTCCATCCGCCGTGGCTTACGAAAACCCCGACCGATGGATGTTCCAATATTTTCTGCTGAGGAGCCCATGGAACTATCTTCCCTTTCGAGCTCGTTCTTTCCAGGAACCCTTGTGGCAACTGCTTCTCGGGACTCCCTCTGTAAGACCAAAGAAATGGGAACTCACTTTCCTCCAGGGCTTCGCATAATTCTTGTAGCTCGTGGGGCGGTGGCGTTATCACGCTTCCGAAGCTGATGTACACCACCGACGCCGGTTCGTGCTTGTTCAACCAGTCCAAGCAGCCGTGCGAGTCGTCGACGGTGGCACTGGAGACTGATGATACTAGATTGAATGGACCGACGTTGAGATACATGTTGAACCTTAATTTAAGCAGGTTGACAACTGTGTTATCCAAGTCTTCGTATGAGTTAGCGGCGATCGCGATGGCACGCGGCAGTGCTAGTTCCATTTTATGCAACAGTGCTGGTATGGCGGCATTAAAGTCTCCGGAGGTTATTCCAGCGGGTAAATCAGCAACACGTATACCGGAAAAATCTGGAAGAAAATCAAGTGGCTTGTCCTGTGGACCTGAAACATTAAGAGCATTCATATTAGTATCATGCGTGCATCATGAAATATCAAGAAATACATAAAAATATGTATGTATCCGTACCATTATTTCCTACATGTTGGCGAATAAGATTAGTCTCCGCATGAACAAGAAGTGCCCTGGGGCCGGCCGTCCAAAACGCCACCCACGGGATGTTCAGCTCATCCGCAATATCAGCCCCGAACGCATAAAACGCATCCGTTATCAAACAATCAACCGGCTTCCCAGTTTCGGCCACGACTTCATCTAAAACCTCCGTGAAATTCGCCGGTACCGCCTTAAGGAAATATTCGACAGGCTCATGAGGATTACCCTTAAACATATAACCCTCCGGTAATCCATCCCGAACATTAAAAGGCTTAACCTTGTCGAGCTTCATCGGAAACGTCGAACTGTTCGATTGTTGGGTGCTAAGGAAGGAAAACACGGCGTCGGGGCAAGCTTCCGATAGCTGACGGATGAGGTTCAGTAGAGGAGCAGCATGTGTGCCGAAGGGGAAAGCCATTACAGCTATGTGTTTAGAAGCGTTCTTGTAGGCTTGCTCCATTTGGATTATCTTCTCTGTTCTCTCTGCGAAATACACCACTCTGGGTTTTTTTTTCTTCCTTTTCTGCTAAAAGCTTGAGAGACATGAGAATTAGATGAGAAATATGGTACTTAAATAAATTAAAGAGGGAAACGTAAAAACCAAAGAGAAACAAATTAGTTGAGGCTGATAATTCGCATTAGTATGGGGTAGGTTGGGGACTTGATGCGATAATGAATGGTTTTAGAAGCAATCGTCATTTTGAGTTGCAGACGAGTTAGTTGAAGAGTTGTTTGGCGGAAATTTATTTCGGTTTTACTGATAAGTTAATTTTAGGATAAAATACGCAAATCATTCCCCGTATTGTTTTATCTAATTATTTTATCGAGTCTCCGATTATTAAAATTTATAAGATAATACTTCGACTAATAAAAGTTATAAAATAGTCTCTGACTATATAGTATAGTTTTATTGAATCTTTCCACTATTAAAAGTTATAAAATTGTCTCTTGATTATAGGGTGATGCTTCTTTTAGTCCCTCGACTATTAGAAGTTATAAAATAATCACCCGACTATTTATATGTTTCAAACTCATCATTTCGGTTAAAATATTGGCGACTGTCTGATATGTTAACTTGTTGACTAGGATATGAAAAAAACTGATCCCAAAATCGTTTGAGCTATATTTTGTGGATCGACTCTTCGCTTACATTATGTCGTCGAGCTAGTGTAAGCAACGACAATGTCAGTAGATATCATCAAAATGTGATTTTATCATATCCCAGTTGACTTGTTAACGTCCAGCTCAGACGACCGTCAATTTTTTAACAGAAAATGACGATTTTGGAACATATGAATAGTCAAGTGATTATTTTGTAACTTTTAATAGTCAATGGACTCAATAAAATAGTTTCATATAATCGAGGGACCATTTCATAACTTTTAATAATTAGGAGACTCAACTAGGGATGGCAACGGAGCGGTTTCAGGCCGGGAATTGGTCCCCCGTCCCTGTTTAAAAAACTCATACTCGTCCCCGTTTTAAAAACGTGGGGATTTAAACGGGGATCACCATCGGGTAATCGGGGAAAACCGTAGGGAAACGGGTATCCCGTTTAGCATAAACGGGTAATTTTCACCGTAGGGATAACCGCGGTAAAAATTACCCGTTTAAATAACCGTTTACCTTAGATGATTATTTTTCACCGCGGGGATCTCGTTACCGTTTAAATTTCACACGATGACACGAGTTATTTAAAAAATAATGTCATTATCGGATCTAAACTTACTTGAAACGTCAGACACCAAATGCATCCAAAATATAAAAAAAACAATTCAAATAGACAAATATAATGACAACGACTAATAATAATATAATGTTTCAACTTTCATAAACAAAATCATTCTTCCAAAGTTTTAACTTCCAAGTCACGTCAACGACACCACCACTGTCATCAAACAGTTGTGACCCTCGATTGCTACAATTACACAAAAAAAATATTATAAACCACCAAAATTTATATAAAAAGTTAATGATATCACGTATAACTTGTATATCAATTTAGTACCTTGTCACCATCATCATGATCATATTCAATGTTTTTACAATATGCTTCGGACTATTGTGAACAAGTTGTTGTATTTTTTACAATATGTGTTCTCCTAAATCCTAATATCCTTTATATATATTTTTAATTTAAATTAAATTTATTAATATTATATATATATATAAAATAATTATTCTTAATATTTATCGGGTCGGGTATCGAGCCGGGTATTCGGGTAATCAGGGTGGGGATTACCAAACCCGTCCCCGTCCCCATTTAAAAAATTCAGTTTTTCCCCGTCTCCGTCCCCGTTTATCATCCCCGAACCCGACCCGTTTAATTCGGTTTTCGATTTTCCTCGATAAGTTCAGTTTTTTTTGCCATCCCTACACTCAACAAAATAACGATATATAATCAGGGGACCGTTTATATATTTTACCCTTAGTTTATTTAGTTAAGTAAAATGGGTTAAACTAATTTGAAACATATACAAAATTATATTTTTGATTCACTAATCATAATAATAAATAATATTTTAATATTTGTTAGATGATAAAAAGAACATAATAAATTAATTTAATTGAACAATGGAATTAACTGAAATTGTTTCGTTTCAGCTCATTTATATTTCTATATTTTTCGGTTTAGTTAATCATTAGATAAATTAAAATTTTAATTAACACGATCAGTAATTATTTGGTTCAATTAGTGATCAAATTAAAACTTTGAGTCAGTTTTATAACTTTTTCCGTTAAGTGAGAAATTTTGATTGGAAATTTTAAAATACACCTTGTTATTACAAGATTAAAAAATGACAGAAATTGATTGTAATAAAAAATATTATCAAGAGCATAATATTTTATGTTAAATGTTATAACCAAAAATATTACATTCTTCATAATATTTTCGGTTATAAATTCTAAACCCCTAATATAACTTTTTAATTATAACAAAAAAAATTATAAATTCATATAACTTAAATTTAATTATAATAAAAACATTATAAATTTATATAACTTTTTCAGTGGAAACTATTTTAAATTAACCTTAATTCTGATTGATGGAAGCACTGCCAATACACCATAATATAATAAAGAACTTCTAACAATTACGTCACAAACTCAAAAAAAAAATTGGTGTCTGGCATTGTAGATGGTCAATTGACTATCTATATTTTACTAACGTTGCATGATAAATTAGGGATGCAATTGGAAAAAAAACGAAAGTTAGAAGATTTTTTGCTATTATATTTTTTATTTTATTTCATCGTTACATAAAACAATTAAAAAAACACTAATTAATGGTCGATCACAAAATTAATAGATCTATGTGCAAAATCTAAACTCGTGTCTAACATGTTACATGCTAAGGAATTATAATTCAACAATATAATGATATTTAAAAAAAAGTATTTATTATAAAAATAAATAAAATTAAAAGAGTATTAAAATATGATTAATAATTTTTTCATTTATAATCTCATACTTCTTTTAGTTTAATTTGTATTTCAATTATTTTTTCATGTTTTAATAAACATTCAAATAACTTATCGGACATTCAAAATAAAATTACATATTAAGAGTAAAAAAACAAAATAGTAAAAAGAATTCAATATTTTCTTCTTCTTTTTTCAAGTGTGCCCTTAAAATTATCATGTTTTGTTAGTAAAAATATTAATCGTTAATTGATCGTTCAAAAAAATATTTATAAAATATGAAACACTATCGTTTAAATTATCAAAAAGTACTTGTGTCAACACATCTTTTCGTCCTACTAGAATTCAAACTCCTAAAGATAGGATAGAATTTTGCTAGGATTCAAAAAATATGATAGAGTTCTACTATGATTTAAACTCCTAAAGATAGGATCCACAAGCACTATAAATAGCCATTGTAACTCACTATTGTAAGACACGATTTATACACAAAACATAGAGGAAAGCACGGGAAGATACAAAGGCAAAGCTATTGTAAAGGATTCGAAAAGGAAATAAAAGGTAGTATTTTCTTTTTTCTTTCTTTTGCATGTGCACGTTATTTTTTTGAGATTTGGTTCGAATAACCCAAAACGTGGGTTGCGCCGATGACCAAAATGGGTGGGGTTTCGAAGTTTCGAACCTAGATCTACCTCGAGGCTTATTTTTAAAAACCGGTTTGATTTTCGGTTAAAGGAGGGAAAGAGCTTTTTAAAAATCTATATTAGTCCCTTTATTTATTATATGGATATTTTATTCATTTATTTTTATTATTCATGTATTATTATTATATGTATATATATATTAAATTATTTTCATTTGATTTTTTACTATATTTTATTATTATTATTATATATATATTTCTTTAATATTTTACTTATAAGTCTAATATTACTATATATATATTAAATTATCTTTATCTAGTCGTATATATTTTTTATACTTTTAATAGTTTATATATACATATTATTAAATATATATTCTTAATTATTTTTATTTGATTATTTCTTTATTTATGTAATATATCTTATAACTTTATATATTTATTATTTTTTATTATTTTCGTTTTTTTATTCATTATTATTATTATTATTTTTTAAAAAAACATTGTGTCTTTATCATTATCATTATTAAACATTATATTATATACTACTAACCTAGAGGACCCATTTTTTTGTCTTATTATTATTAGAGCCCCCATTTTCGGTGAATTGGGAGGGTAGTTTTCTATTTTTAAGTTTGGTGTACATATATAGCTTATTTATTTTATTAATACTTTGATATATATATTTATTTTTTCCTTTTTTCAAATACTATATATAATTATTACTTACTATTTTTTCTTATCTTACTTACTTATTTTATTATTTTATTTTTCCCTTATATCTTATTTGTTTCTTTACCTTGTTTATCTAACACATTTCTCGATTTTTTTTCAAATCAATCAAGGGTAAGTAATTAGGATCGAAACTTTACCTTTAATTTAACTTGTTTTTTTCTTAATTAAGACAACTGGAAATTACGTAGTACCGAAAGGGCGGTTCAAGGGTGCTAATCCTTCCTTGACCGTAACCGACTCCCGAACCCGACATATTTCTGGTAAGACGCAGATCAGGTAAGAAATAGGGTATCCGATCAACCCATTTATTTTTAAATAAATGATCGGTGGCGACTCCAATCCACATTTTTCAAGTCGAAGCCCAATTCTGGGGCCCAACCGAAAGACGGTTGCGACAGCTTGGCGACTCTGCTGGGGAGGTAAGTGAGTCAGGCTAAGGTAATTTCTAATTGTCTTTTTAACGAAAAGGGTAAGTTTAGATTTTAAGGTAATATTTCGATCCTTTTTACTTACTTTTGATTATTTTCGAGTAAATAGTTGGACTAATCGTTTTCTCATGATTTCAGCCTTCAAAGTTTTTTTTCATCTAAGGCTCTATACCCGAGCTCCAAACCCTATTTAAGTAGGGTGAAAGCGACGCCTTCGTGTGAATTTATTCACCGTGCGGGCCTAGCAAGTAGCCTTCAGGATTCATATACCTTATGTCTTCGTG